TTTGCCACTATAGTGTTAAACTCAAGGGGAACCAGCTATCTCACACTCATTCATTCATTCATTCATTCATTCATTCATTCATTCATTCATTCCCTCAGGCACTCACACACTTACACAGACCAAAGGTTGCAGGGTGAACCAAGGCATAGGGTATGTCTAGACTACATGCCTCTGTCTCCACAGGCATGTAAATTAGACTACTCTACATAGTCAATGAAGCCGGGATTTAAATATCCCCGGCTTCATGAAAATAAAAATGGCTGCCGCACCTGTAAACGAGGTTTACGGGAGTGGTCAACAAAGGCTTCCCTTGTCGACTGCTCCTGTAAACCTGGTTTACAGGTGTGGTGGCCATTTTTATTTTAATGAACCCAGGGATATTTAAATCCCGGCTTCATTGACTATGTCAGGTAGTCTAATTTACATGCCTCTGACGACAGAGGCATGTAGTATAGACATACCCATGCTGATTCCGAAGGTTTCCCTCTAGCAATGGATCCTGGCTGGTAAGCAGATGAGAAAGAGAGCTTCTGCCACAAGCTCTCTCCTTTTATTGGAATTGGGCAGCTCCTGTCATACACGCACGGTCCTTCCTCCACGTACATCACTGATGAGCATACCCAGACCTCCCACAATCTGGGTCCTTTGTTTGCTTAGAGCAGTGATGTCTCCGTGATTGCTTTAATTAGTCATCACTTGGCTCCATGTGTTTAGCCTTGCTGTTTTCCTCCCCAAACACACTCTCAGCCTCCATTCACACTTTCTCTCTTATCACAGGATGGAATGTAGCTTAGAGTAAGTTATAAGCAAAGTGACTGAAAGTTACAAAGTTTACAAAGCTCAACAATCACCAAGCTTCCAGTAGGTTTCTGAACTTATACAGGAGACCCCCAACTTGCAACCGCCAGAGTTCCAACCCCTGCACTTACAACCATTTCTGTAAGTGCGGAAGGGGCTGAAAACTCCCAACTTATGTCCGCAGCCCATATTTACGATGGCTCACGGTGCCTATGGTAAATGAGGATTCGAGTTATGACGCCCCCGACTTGCGTCGTTTCCCGTGGAACCAATCGTGTTGCAAGTCGGGGGCCTTCTGTAAACCAAAGTGGCTGAGAGTCACAAAGATTACAAAGTTGCAAAGCTCAACAATCTTACAAATTGCAGAATTTAAAAGGCAAAGTAGCTGAAAATTACAAGGAAACAATTACAAAGCTTCAAAGCTTAATGGTCAAAAAGATACCTTCCAAAGCACAGCAACTGACTGAGAACAATTTCCATCTCAATCATCTACAAATCAAAAGTAATGAAGTGACTTAGAAGACAACTGCCCCAGTTGCAAAGCTCAACAATCTTACAAATTGCAGAATTTAAAAGGCAAAGTAGCTGAAAATTACAAGGAAACAATTACAAAGCTTCAAAGCTTAATGGTCAAAAAGATACCTTCCAAAGCACAGCAACTGACTGAGAACAATTTCCATCTCAATCATCTACAAATCAAAAGTAATGAAGTGACTTAGAAGACAACTGCCCCCCCCCCCAGTGTTCACAGCAATACAGTCAGCAGCAGATTTTGTCATTCTCTTATCATGTGTTGGAGGACCTTACAGTTTAATACATTTCCAGAAAATTTACGTATGTATCAAGTAGCTCCAATTTAGAGGGTAATAGCTCGGGCAGAGGCTTCACACAACACTAGTGACCACTTGGGAAAAGTTTGATTTAAATGACTCGCTTAATATAAAAACGCTGTGGCAGAGATATGAATAAAATCCAGTTTTTCAGGGCAGCATTCAGCTCCCTTAAACAGGAGACCATCCTTCTCTTTCAACAACATCCTGCTTCCTATTCAACATCTGCAAGTAATGAAGTAGGGGTCCCACAGACAAAACCACTATGATTGATCCCCAGAGTGGTCCATCCTGTGCACTGAATGATGTGGGATCCTGTGGAACCTCTAGCCCACTTACTTAGCCTTATTAAAACAACTGACGGGTATTTCTGCTGTTATATGTGTAACCCCTCCTGTTCACTAGCCCAACGTGAGGTTATTCAGCATAGGGGAAGCCTTGTGACTTCTTACACAACTGTGGGAGGCTAGGCCTGAGGCTCCTTGGTGTGCTCTGTTTGGGTATTTTGTGGGTGCACCTCAAACCAGACCCACTCAGAAAAACCACCAGGAACAGGCTTTATTCTGTAAAAAAAACCCATAGAACAAGATCACAGTTCAGCAGCTCCTCCTCTCAGCATGCAGCCTGCATGCTGCTTCTAGCACAGTCCCTGTTGAGACCCTCCTGGGGGCAGAGGGCACATCATACAACACAGCCCCCTTACAACATGTCCCAGCTCCCACAGTGACTAAGCCCCACAACAACCAAGTCTATGTCCTCCCTTGGTGTCACCTAAACTCCTCTCAGGGTGGCTCTATAGCCCTTTTTGGTCCTACCTGTAAGAAAAACATAGGACAGGATCACAGTTCGGCAGCCACTCCTCTCTGCATGCAGCCTGTGTGCTGCTTCTAGCACAGTCCCTGCGGAGACCCTACTGGGGGGCAGAGGACACATCCTGGTAGTCTAGTCTACAACTTGTAGTTTCCAAGGCTGATGATGAAGCACACTGGACCTTGGGCTACATATGTATCTTTTGGTTTCTGTTATTTCCACTCAAATTCATCTGATGAAGTGGGTTTTACCCACACAAGCTCAGGATTCTATATATTTCAGTTAGTCTCTAAGGGTATGTCCACACTACGAAGTTAATTCGAACTAAGGGTACGTCTAGACTACATGCCTCTGTCGCCAGAGGCATGTAGATTAGGCTACCAGGCATAGGAAAATGAAGCGGCGAGTTAAATAATCGCTGCTTCATTTAAATTTACATGGCTGCCACGCTGAGCCGACAAACAGCTGATCAGCTGTTTGTCGGCTCAGCGTGGCAGCCATGTAAATTTAAATGAAGCAGCGATTATTTAACTCGCCGCTTCATTTTCCTATGCCTGGTAGCCTAATCTACATGCCTCTGGCGACAGAGGCATGTAGACTAGA